TCTCTCTCTCTCTCTCTCTCTCTCTCTCTCTCTCTCTCTCTCTCTCTCTCTCTCTCTCTCTCTCTCTCTCTCTCTCTCTCTCTCTCTCTCTCTCTCTCTCTCTCTCTCTCTCTCTCTCTCTCTCTCTCTCTCTCTCTCTCTCTCTCTCTCTCTCTCTCTCTCTCTCTCTCTCTCTCCGTCAGTCGCACATTATCTCTGTTATCACAAACGCACCAATTTGATATACCGTATTTCCTTCCTGGCATCAACTTGCTGTGTCAAACAATAGGGAGGATCTGAACTTGTCCACCAGACTAATCTCTCTTTAAGGATAGTTGTACAATTATGGCTGCTAAAAGCTTCATTCAGAGGGAAGGCACTTATGGCCAGTTGAATTGAGAGTAGATTTCACGAAGAAAGGTCGGAAGGGGTTGAGATAGATAAGGTGGAGAGGGTGCAGGCCTGCCCCACTTGACCTCATGGAGTGTAGGGGATTAAGTCAGTGGGGACTGTCAAGACGTACCTGTCAGTGGACGGTCGTGTCAAGAGGGATGTGTCAAGAAAGGGCAAGGGAGTGGACCGTCCTCCGAAGTGTGTGGGGATCGGGGGGCCTGGTCAGCGTGGGAGGTCAGAGGTCGTGGTAGGCAGTGTGGTCACCTTGGTCAGGTCTTCCCCTTTGTTTCAGCACATCTCGGAGCGCTCGCCATTAATAAATAAAAGCGCCCTTATATTGTGAACGAAACCTCTCTACTGTTGCACGTTTCTCGCCTTGCCGTCTGTACATTTCACCCATCGATGTGGTGCACAGTTTCGACCACTTAACTAAGGTAACTTTGTGATAAAACCTATCACTTGTTCGTGTGTTTCGTAAAGGGAACACGAATAAAAGATGAAATCAAGTTTCAAAAGGACAAATTAACTTTTGTATTAGCTTAGATGAAACGAGTTAAAAAAAAAAAAGACTTTTTTAAGAGTTTTAGACTTTTGGTGCAGCCGCTAAGAGCGGGTACAGGATAAGCTAATACAGAGCAAAAGCTCTTTATTATCTTCCAGCTCTTTATCTTTGTAACAAGCTGCACCACAATGGTGTAATGGTAAGCCCTGTTGTCATGTTTGTATATATATAAAATAAATATCATGATTCGAGTTGTCAAGATGCTATGAATTACAGATTATCTACATGTATACATATTCATTTAATGTTTATTTCCGTTTGGGTTAAATACTCTGGATCTTATTTACTTTCTAAAATGTCTACTTTTATGAATATTGTTATTAACAAGACATATTGACCTGTCAGTATAGGGGTTCATTGTAATGCCTAGTTGAGGCATACTACGTCAGATCTCACCTATGCCCAATTGTGGCAAGACTATGCCCGCTATGCCCTGCTTATATAATTACGCTAAGGACGACCAATAGCTAATAAGTGATCCTATCACTGCACGTTATAGGAGCTGAATTGATCCTATTATTTATCGGTCATTGATTCAGGATCATTAATGCTTTGTTGACCAGACCACACACTAGAAATTGAAGGGACGACGACGTTTCGACTTGAGAATGGTCCAGGACGGACCGAAACGTCGTCGTCCCTTCAATTTCTAGTGTGTGGTCTGGTCAACATACTTCAGCCACGTTATTGTGACTCATCGCCTGCTCATTAATGCTTTCTCCTGGCTAAACAAGCTAAGAGGTCGGCACCGATAGTCAAGGACTTCTGCCTCCAATGACTGGCTACGGAACGTCATGCCTACCTGAGCCATGGTCCGTGCTCTAAGATCAATCCCCTGTTGCATCAAGGAGCCTCGATCTATGACCAATTAAGGGCTCTCGCTGTATGGGTGATTATTGCTTTAAGGGGCCCCCTTACTCTATGGACCATCGCTGTTTCAAGGGGCTCCTGCTCCATTGATGTGGCAGTTGAGTGGGTTAGCGGGGCTGAAGCAGGCTGAAAAGGTCATTTAGTAGTCAAATGATTTCGATAAATGATATTTTATGCAATGCATATTAGCCAGTCTCTACTTTACTTTGTGCATGTGTAACAGGTTATACAACATTTTATTCATTCAAGTGGCTTGCTTTGTGAATGCTGATGTGAACTTTATGAACTTAAGGGACAAAAAAAAGACTGTTGTACTTTGTATTTTACGTAAATTCGGTTTCACATTTATCGCTTTTGTGGTACAGTGCACTCTTCCTCACGCACGTGCTTTTGTAGGACTTTTTTTAATTTTAAGTTATTGTTACATTGCCTTTTATTTTAACCTTTATCATTACGTTTAATTACATATTGGATAATATCTTATGAATTCTTTAGCGGCCCCGATCCTTCCAACCTCATATCCCGTTTTCTACGAATAAGAAAAAACCACTAGTTATTCGTTTTCTAAGAATAAGAAAAACCATGAGTTATTCGTTTTCTACGAATAGTTTCATTAAGCCTTGTGTTTTGATCTCGTCTCGAGCTTGTATGTTGGCACCAGTGTCCCTCGATGGCACTTGTATGTTGGCATCAGTGTCCCTCGATGGCACTTGTATGTTGGCATCAGTGTCCCTCGATGGCACTTGTATGTTGGCACCAGTGTCCCTCGATGGCACTTGTATGTTGGCACCAGTGTTCCTTGATGGCACTTGCCCTCATAACCTGCTAAGCGCTTCCTTGATCGACGATACCTTACCGGAAACCTTAAAGAGGTGGCAGCCTCGGCAGGGGGCACTCGCATAGAAAACGAGAGGGGAGGGTGGAGGGTGCAATTTGATTTCTGTGTAATTCACTTGTTATGTACTCAAGGTGGTCATTCACGTTAGTTGCGACCCGAGAGACACATGCAGTGTTATGACAATGTTAATTTGCTAGTGGTTTTGCGTTGTAATAGCGTAAACAGTTGTTTAGTTTTGTGTTAGGGTTATTAATCGTTGTGTATAGTGGATATCTACTGTCTCTTAGATCTCCCGTGTGTGTGTGTGTGTGTGTGTGTGTGTGTGTATGTGTGTGTGTGTGTGTGTGTGTGTGTGTGTGTGTGTGTGTGTGTGTGTGTGTGTGTGTGATGATATTGGCAGCCTAGCTTACAAACTTTCCAGTTGGAAGCGGAGCCAAGGGACATCACACGCTCAGCCAGACCTCAACAAACACAACACACACCCAGCCAGACCTCAACAAACACAACACACACCCAGCCAGACCTCAACAAACACCACACACACCCAGCCAGACCTCAACAAACACCACACACACACCCAACCAGACCTCAACAAACACCACACACACCCAGCCAGACCTCAACAAACACCACACACACACAACCAGACCTCAACAAACACCACACACACCCAACCAGACCTCAACAAACACCAGACACACCCAGCCAGACCTCAACAAACACCACACACACCCAGCCAGACCTCAACAAACACCACACACACACCCAGCCAGACCTCAACAAACACCACACACACCCAGCCAGACCTCAACAAACACCACACACACCCAACCAGACCTCAACAAACACCACACACACCCAACCAGACTTCAACAAACACCACACACACACCCAGCCAGACCTCAACAAACACCACACACACCCAACCAGACCTCAACAAACACCACACACACACCCAACCAGACCACAACAAACACCACACACACCCAACCAGACCTCAACAAACACCACACACACCCAGCCAGACCTCAACAAACACCACACACACACCCAACCAGACCACAACAAACACCACACACACCCAGCCAGACCTCAACAAACACCACACACACCCAGCCAGACCTCAACAAACACCACACACACACCCAACCAGACCTCAACAAACACCACACACACACACAACCAGACCTCAACAAACACCACACACACACACAACCAGACCTCAACAAACACCACACACACACACGACCAGACCACAACAAACACCACACACACCCAGCCAGACCTCAACAAACACCACACACACACAACCAGACCTCAACAAACACCACACACACCCAGCCAGACCTCAACAAACACCACACACCCAGCCAGACCTCAACAAACACCACACACACACACAACCAGACCTCAACAAACACCACACACCCAGCCAGACCTCAACAAACACCACACACACCCAGCCAGACCTCAACAAACACCACACACACACACAACCAGACCTCAACAAACACCACACACCCAACCAGACCTCAACAAACACCACACACACACACAACCAGACCTCAACAAACACCACACACCCAACCAGACCACAACAAACACCACACACACACCCAGCCAGACCTCAACAAACACCACACACACACAACCAGACCACAACAAACACCACACACACACCCAGCCAGACCTCAACAAACACCACACACACACCCAGCCAGACCACAACAAACACCACACACACACCCAGCCAGACCTCAACAAACACCACACACACACACAACCAGACCTCAACAAACACCACACACACCCAGCCATACCTCAACACCACACACACACACACCCAACCAGACCTCAACAAACACCACACACACACCCAGCCAGACCTCAACAAACACCACACACACACAACCAGACCACAACAAACACCACACACACCCAGCCAGACCACAACAAACACCACACACACACCCAGCCAGACCTCAACAAACACCACACACACACACAACCAGACCTCAACAAACACCACACACACCCAGCCAGACCACAACAAACACCACACACACCCAGCCAGACCACAACAAACACCACACACACCCAGCCAGACCACAACAAACACCACACACACCCAGCCAAACCACAACAAACACCACACACACACCCAGTCAGACCTCAACAAACACCACACACACACCCAACCAGACCTCAACAAACACACACACACAACCAGACCTCAACAAACACACACACACAACCAGACCTCAACAAACACACACACACAACCAGACCTCAACAAACACACACACACAACCAGACCACAACAAATACCACACACACCCAGCCAGACCTCAACAAACACCACACACACACACACAACCAGACCACAACAAACACCACACACACACAACCAGACCACAACAAACACCACACACACACAACCAGACCACAACAAACAAGGGACTGAGAACAAGCACCAACCACCTGTATGCACCAGAGGAGTCAAGTTGACTCCATCAAGCGAACAACAACATCTGCCGCTACATTTAGCCATGGAGAAGTTCTATATATGTTCTCCTTCGTTTCCTTTCAGCCTTTAGCATTCCGTTTGATGTTTTTATTAAAATTTTTAACCCAAATTTAAAAATAATATTGATATAATTGCTATTATTTTCGGGTTATTTCGTCAATTAAGATATCAGTAAATGGCTGCCAGAATTAACTTATCTTAGATATATACTAAGGGAAACTAATTCGCTAGAGATTTGACAACTGCACAACTGACACACCAGCTGTAGGAAGTATGATTGGGACAACTAATTTGGTTTAATACAGTAACTCGCACTACTAAAGGAACCCAACTCACACATCTCTCACCCAACCCATCCATCTGTAAATGAATGAGGTGGAGACGTTTGGGTTCGTTCTGGACTCTTACGAAATGGTGGGAACAGTCAATATGTAAGGCAAGAATGTGAGGTGAAAGGGAAGAGGAAGGAACTGTACTGTAGACGTTAACAGGAATAAAGCTACAAAAAGCCGTAATTAAGAGAAAAAGGCGAATGACGTTGTGTTAAAGTTTCTACAAGGTTGTGAGCACGTTGTAATAACGTTTCTACAAGGTTTTGAGCACGTTGTGAGAACGTTGCTACAATGTTGTGAGCACGTTGGTAAAATGTTGCCACAAGGTTGTAAGCACGTTGGTAAAGCGTTGCGACAAGGTAGTGCTAACGTTGCTACAAGGTTTTGAGCACATTATGATAACGTTGCTACAAGGTTGTGAGCACGTTGTGATAACGTTGCTACAAGGTTGTGAGCACGTTGTGAGAACGTTGCTACTAGGTTGTGAGCACGTTGTGATAACGTTGCTACAAGGTTGTGAGCACGTTGTGAGAACGTTGCTACTAGGTTGTGAGCACGTTGTGATAACGTTGCTACAAGGTTGTGAGAACGTTGCTACTAGGTTGTGAGCACGTTGTGAGAACGTTGCTACTAGGTTGTGAGAACGTTGCTACTAGGTTGTGAGCACGTTGTGAGAACGTTGCTACTAGGTTGTGAGAACGTTGCTACTAGGTTGTGAGCACGTTGTGAGAACGTTGCTACTAGGTTGTGAGCACGTTGTGAGAACTTTGCTACTAGGTTGTGAGCACGTTTTTATAACTTTGCTATAACGTTGTGAGCATGTTGTGATAACGTAGCAACAACGGTGTGAGCACATTATCAAAACAAGCCAACAACGTTGCAGCAACATTATCACTACGTATTCACAACCTTATACCAACGTTATCCCAATGTGTAACAACGTTTTCACAACGGGGCCACCAAGTTGTTGCAACGTTTGGCCAGCATGATCACAGTGTTGTACAAATATTGTGCTAACGTTGTTATAAGTCTGTGGGTGCGTTACCACATTCCCACAGCGTTGTTGAAACATTATCAAAAGGTTATCTTCTTGAGATGAGGTTATCTTGAGATGATTTCGGGGCTTACTTTCCCCGCGGCCCGGTCATCGACCAGGCCTCCACCCCCCAGGAAGCAGCCCGTAGCAGCTGCCTAACTCCCAGGTACCTATTTACTGCTAGGTAACAGGGGCATGAGGGTGAAAGAAACATTTTGCCAAGTTTTTTACAAAGGTACCCACAACTTTGTAGCAACTGTTGCTAAAACGTACCCACAACTGTTGCTACAACGTACCCACAACTGTTGCTACAACGTACCCACAACTGTTGCTACAACGTACCCACAACTGTTGCTACAACGTACCCACAACTGTTGCTACAACGTACCCACAACTGTTGCTACAACGTACCCACAACTGTTGCTACAACATTGCGGACACGTTGTGAGAATGTTACAATATTGTGGACTTACAAGGGGACCAGTCACAATATGGACACAAAAAGCACTGTGCATTTTACTATATCCTTCCTTTCCAAAAATACCAGCATAGATCCACTGGGCAAAGATTCATCAACCACTTACGAAACCAGTACATCTTTCCTCATTCACGGCACCTTTATTTGCATTTATTAAGCAGTTCATGACCCTCAGAACCTTACAATGCAAGTTTATTATTGTATAAATAATTTCAAAACAGCTCATAAACTGTAAAACATATAAACAAAGCCAACATTATTAAGAAATGATATACAGGCTTCGTAAGTAGTTGGGTAAATACTTTACAAATGCGAGCCCTAAACGGAGCAAAGATTAATCTCCTCCTCCTGCTATTACGGCGATCGGTGATATATTTATATCGTGATTATCACCCTTACCGACCGAGCAGATAACAATGCCTGGGTAAGATAACGATATACTATAAAGAAGCCGGTTTTCTCCATTTGCAAATCCTGAAAAAATATGCAGCCGTTTAGCCTAACCAGAAACGTATTAATCGAAGCAACCCTCCTAACCTATCTATGCCGATGTATAGAAAACGTTCATATTACGGTGTTTTGATTCATAGTAACACTTCGCATTTGTAACGTATTGATCTACTTGGTTAAAAATGTGACATTGTTATTGATCGAGTGAGAAATTAGTCTGTTATTTCCCATATTATTGGTAACCTATGGACATATATATGGCCTGTACCTCGGCTGCCACTAACAGCTCTCTTGCTCAGGATACGTTGAGCATGCTAACTCTGTGATTTAGAGCCATCACCGGGCAAATATATCTCAGGCTGGGTACCGGTGCCCACCGGCCAGGTACCGGCGCCCACCGGCCAGGTACCGGTACCCACCGACCAGGTACCAGTACCCACCGGCCAGGTATCGGTACCCACCGACCAGGTACCAGTACCCACCGGCCAGGTACCGGTACCCACCGACCAGGTACCGGTACCCACCGACCAGGTACCAGTGCCCACTGGCCAGGTACCAGTACCCACCGACCAGGTACCAGTACCCACCGGCCAGGTACCAGTACCCACCGGCCAGGTACCAGTACCCATCTTGCTACCAAAACATTAACAACCACCATCTGGCAACCTTCTCTAACTTTCCATTGATACTTCTGTTGTTTGGTTTCCGCCTTGCTTTTTTTTCTTGGTTTTTGTTTGCTTTAGTTTTTGTTATCTCCCATGTGCTGCACCGCTCTGTTTGCTTGTTGTTTTGATTGTACTCTAGACGTGGACATGGAGGGTAAAGCTTTGCGAGGTAGCTCTCATAAACATCAAAGCATTTCTTGTTCTTATTGATCACGTGTGTTACTGTCACTCAGTAGTAACACCTGTCCAGTGTACGTGACACGTCAAGGAGCAGGAGAGATCATGGACGAACATGTCTCTAGAAAATAATACAAAAATAATTAGGAAAATTGGCATTTTGCAAATTATTGATAGCTTAATACTGCAATGTGTTCTTCAGAAGCTCTCGCGAGGATTCCCTAGGGGCTTACGTCTCAGTAAGCCAACATGAGCTCATCACATGCCAACATATAATGGCAGAAACGCTTGTTTACCAACACGTCGTCAAGATGCAGCATCCAAGTCACCTGCCCTGATCTCTCCTTGCACTTAGCATCATGTCTGGGTACAAAAGTGAGATTCTCTCTTCGTTTAGAATATCATTGGGAAACAAAACGTGTATGTGGAAACAAAAAAGTTTAATTTGTACATAGGATATTTCACATAGTTAGGAACTTAACCCAACTCACTTTAAACTTATCAAGCCGTCTATAATGTGTGTCACGATGCCAACCACTGGTTAAGATTCATTGTTTATATTAGGAAGGTATAGGCTCATAAGGTTGAATCGCTCGCACCTCGAGCGATACACATATCTGTATGATTATTTAATATTGTAAATAAACATATGTTCGTAATTCCTGAGTTTTCTTCCCCCATGAACCACAGAGTAGCTCTCCAGGCAATTAACCTGGAGAGCAACATAGGATTATTGATCGTATAGAGGGCCAAGGAAGTCTGATCACTTGGACCAACAGAATCCAATCAGCCTATCCAGGGGGCGGCGTTCAGGCTGGATAAAGCACGACAATTGTCCTGGATAAGGGTAGGCGATATATATATATATATATATATATATATATATATATATATATATATATATATATATATATATATATATATATATATATATATATATATATATATATATAGATATGCAACAACGATCACAAAAACACTGATCCAAGTGTTTTGGATCAGTGGAAAAATCACATTTGAAAAATAAGAAAATGATGAACCCGTTTTCGGCTCACTTCACCTTCATCAGAGCAAGATTAAGAGTGACTATCTTTGCTGCTATAGTGAAAGTTACTGTCTTGCTCTGATGAAGGCGAGTTGAGCCGAAAACCCGTTCAACATTCTCCAATTTGTTAATTACGGTTTTCCGCTTATATTATATTATATTATATATATATATATATATATATATATATATATATATATATATATATATATATATATATATATATATATATATATATATATATATATATATATATATATATATATATATATATATATATATATATATATATATATATATATATATATATATCCAGTGTAATTGGCCTGTTATGTTGGACATTGTCTTCTGTGTTGGCATCGATATGTTCTTGTCTTGTCCTTACTCTCATGGTGGGTAGAGTAAATAGTTCCGTGATTTGGGTGTTCATGGTAGGTCGTTCTATTCTTATGTGAATTGCTTCAAGAATTTGTAATCTTCTTGAATCTTGGGTTTTGTCTATTATGCAAGTATTCTTGTTCAACATTTCTCTTGTTAGAGTAATGTCATGGGCTTGTCTCATGTGATTCCTAGGGGCACCAGATTGAAGATGACATGTCAAACGCCTCGTCAGCTTGGTCGACGTCATACCTATGTACTTACATTGAAGGTTACATCCTTCGTGGGGGCAAGTGTACATGTATACAACGCTTGACTGCTGTAGAGGGTTCTCCGTCGGCTTCGGGCTGTTTTTGATAAGGAGTTCGGAAGTCTTCTTGGTTTTGTAGAATATTATCAGGTTTATGTTTTGGTTAGGAGTAGTGCTTTTTACTCCTTTACGGATTATTTCTTTCATTATTCTTTCCTCTTTTATATGTTCACTGTGCATGGTTGATTTGTAATATAATTTTATTGGGGGTGTTGTGGTTTCTGTTCTAGGTTCTGAATTATACCAACGGTCCAAGTGTCTTCTTATAGCAGCGTTTATTTCCGCGTTGCTATATCCGTTGTTCACCAATACCTGAGTTACTCTTTCAAACTCTCTACTCACGTTGCTCCATTCAGAGCAGTGGGTAAGCGCTCGACGAATATAAGCATTGAGAACACTGGCTTTGTATCTTTGGGGGCACTCACTTCTACCGTTCAGGCATAATCCTATGTTGGTGGGCTTGGTATATACGTTGGTGCTTAAAGAGGTTCCTGTTTTTGTTATTAGTACATCCAAGAATGGCAGACTGTTATTTTCACTATTTTCATGTGTAAATCGGAGTACTGACTCTCTCTCTAGGTGTCTTTTTAGGTCAATTAGTTCATCTGAGTCTTTTACTATTACGAATATGTCATCTACATAACGGCAGTATACAGTTGGTTTTTGTCTGCTACTGAAGACCCTATCTTCGATGGTTCCCATATAAAAATTAGCAAATAAAACTCCTAAGGGGGAGCCCATTGCTACTCCGTCTATTTGTAAATACATGTCTCCTTGTGGACTGATGAAAGGGGCTTCCTTTGTACATGCTTCGAGAAGACTTTTCAAGTGTATATATATATATATATATATATATATATATATATATATATATATATATATATATATATATATATATATATATATATATATATATATATATATATATATATATATATATATATATATATATATATATATATATATAATAACTAAGATTACCCCTATACACAGTACCGTAATCATCGCACCACTGATCGTATATATTTCTACTTATTACATATGTGAAAGGACAACCTTATGACGTGTGAAAAAGAGACATCAGCCTCTTAGACGCTGATCTCTTAGTGATCATCATTCAGGTTTACAGTATGCAAACTGTTCAGAATGTTCAGTGTGTTCAGTGTTGTTCAGTGTGTTCAGTATGTAGTTGTGCTTGCGGGGGTTGAGCTCTGGCTCTTTGATCCCGCCTCTCAACTGTCAATCAACTGGTGTACAGGTTCCTGAGCCTACTGGGCTCTATCATATCTACACTTGAAACTGTGTATGGAGTCAGCCTCCACCACATCACTGCCTAATGCATTCCATTTGTTAACTACTCTGACACTGAAAAAAATTATTTCTAATGACTTTGTGGCTCATTTGGGTACTCAGTTTCCACCTGTGTCCCCTTGTTCGCGTTCCATCTATGCTCAATTGTCTTTGTCCACCCTGTCAATTTCTCTGAGAATTATGTAGGTGGTGATCATGTCTTCCCTTACTCTTCTGTCTTCAAGGGACTTGAGATTTAGGTGCCATAGCCTTTCCTCGTAGTTCGTACCTCTCAGTTCTCGTACCATAATTTCTTCAGCACAATTTTCAACACAAAGTTCTTCAGCATAAAGTTCATACAACACAAAGTTCCAAAAAAAGATATTCATGCAACGAAAAAAGTTGCCTCAAGACAAAATGGCCACAAGACCAAAGTTGCCACAAGGCCAAAGTTGCCACAAGGCCAAAGTTGCCACAAGGCCAAAGTTGCCACAAGGCCAAAGTTGCCACAAGACCAAAGTTGCCACAAGGCCAAAGTTGCCACAAGACCAAAGATGCCACAAGACCAAAGATGCCACAAGACCAAAGATGCCACAAGGCCAAAGTTGCCACAAGGCCAAAGTTGCCACAAGGCCAAAGATGCCACAAGACCAAAGATGCCACACGACCAAAGATGCCACAAGACCAAAGATGCCACACGACCAAAGTTGCCACAAGACCAAAGTTGCCACAAGACCAAGTGGAATATACAGAGAGAAAACACAAGGACGGAGTTTCTAAAACTGAGATAAAGTTACCTGCGAGAAATAATTACCCGAGCGGTAATTAGCCATTTTTTTTTTCACCTTGACGGGAATATTTCCGATATAACTCTGAGCGAACAATTTCCGAGTCGTTCCTAACATGAAACTTTCTCCAGTTGCTCCTCCAGGATTAGTCTCCCAGTGCAACCCGTTCTCGCACTTTCGTATAGTCAATATTGACTTATTAAATACGTGCATATGTGACATACTAAACATACTAGTTTACCTTGAAAAGCTTCGTAATTACAATTATTACTTAACCTATTATAGGTATAGGTTAAGTAATAATTGTATTTACGAAGCAATAAGATGCTTACCTTAACATACTAGGAAAGTTAGGTAAGGTCGGTGTTTTCTATGAAGCTTTTCAAGGTAAACTAATATGTTTAGTATGTCACATATGCACGTATTTAATAAGTCAATATTGACTGTAAGAAAGTGCGAGAACGGGTTGCCCAGTGATGCTGAGAGCCCCCAGCATCCCTGGCAGGGTCTCAGTGATGCTGAGAGCCCCCAGCATCCCTGGCAGGGTCTCAGTGATGCTGAGAGCCCCCAGCATCCCTGGCAGTGTCTCTCAGTGATGCTGAGAGCCCCCAGCATCCCTGGTAGGGTCTCTCAGTGATGCTGAGAGCCCCCAGCATCCCTGGTAGGGTCTCTCAGTGATGCTGAGAGCCCCCAGCATCCCTGGCAGTGTCTCAGTGATGCTGAGAGCCCCCAGCATCCCTGGCAGTGTCTCAGTGATGCTGAGAGCCCCCAGCATCCCTGGCAGTGTCTCAGTGATGCTGAGAGCCCCCAGCATCCCTGGCAGGGTCTCTCAGTGATGCTGAGAGCCCCCAGCAACCCTGGCAGTGTCTCAGTGATGCTGAGAGCCCCCAGCATCCCTGGCAGTGTCTCTCAGTGATGCTGAGAGCCCCCAGCATCCCTGGCAGTGTCTCTCAGTGATGCTGAGAGCCCCCAGCATCCCTGGCAGAGTCTCTCAGTGATGCTGAGAGCCCCCAGCATCCCTGGCAGTGTCTCTCAGTGATGCTGAGAGCCCCCAGCATCCCTGGCAGTGTCTCTCAGTGATGCTGAGAGCCCCCAGCATCCCTGGCAGTGTCTCTCAGTGATGCTGAGAGCCCCCAGCATCCCTGGCAGTGTCTCTCAGTGATGCTGAGAGCCCCCAGCATCCCTGGCAGGGTCTCTCACTGATGCTGAAGGTAAACTACTTTTTTGAGGGCTCTGAGGAGCAATAAAATACATATATAATACACCTTGACAGCTCCACAGGTAACACCAGGTCATCTCCTACTGTGTAGAACAACACCACCTCCTCCTGCCCTCTCAGGGGGATACTTAATTATATACTAATTGTGTATTTTAGCAGTGCTAAGTGTACTTGAAAATTCTCAGATATTCACTTTTTTAATAATAATAAATTATCATAGTTAAATCATTTAAACACCTTGATTAATGATTCCTTGGCATAGCGACCCTGATATATGACTCAGACACACACACACACACACACCCACACACACACACACACACACACACACACACACACACACACACACACACAAACAAGCAGTTAAATAGCGTGACATCGCGCCAAAACGTATCAACAAATCTTGTCATCAATGTGTGACCCGACTTTCAAACAGACACACACATATTACATACATTTTTATCATAATAAATTTCAAGAAACTTTAATTAATGACCATAAGTATATAATTTGTTGATCAAGTTAGGAATCTGCGTATATTTCAATATGGGGGAGTACATATACAATATGGGGAGTACACATACAATATGGGGAGTACACATACAATATGGGGAGTACATATACAATAT